GTCAATGGTAATATCAACATATTAGGCTTACTGATAAGAGGACTTTAAAACAACCGTGACTAATTTTAGCCAGCTATTGGTCAGTAAAAAAGCAGTTATTCTAAATCAGTACTTCATGGAAGCAAACCAATCACATTACACAATACAAACATATCTTACATAGTGAATCCACTGAAATCTTCTATACCTTTTTTCTGTAAATTGAAAAACAATGACACCTAACACTGCTCTTATGGATATAAAAGATCCGTCATCTCGAACCGTTGTAAGGCAAATAGATTCTTATAAGTCTGTTCTTGTTTATAGATTTGGGGTTTTATATTTAAAATTAGGATCCAGGAGTATTGCTGATTTGTGTTGTATATCCAATCTGGGTTTAGTATTTTACTCTATCATGGCTAATAAATAATTCTCCATGATCATTTTGAATGTCCCAAGCAATCCACAAAGGTATTTCTACTGTTCATATAATATAACGTGAATTGAACACCACTTGTTTTTAGATTTCACTTCAAAGTTATTTTCTCAGTTCTTATTGGCTCGTTTCTATACTGTACTTTTAATGCCTTTTTCTACGTTTTTACTTTAAATTATTATAAAATCATTAATTCATTGTTTAAGATAATTTAGTTTAATGGAGTAATAGGAATAATAACTTAAGGTTTAACAGCTGAATGGCAACCTGTTAAAACAATATATCGATCAGTTGTGCTGATCTTATTTCTGATTTGTGTTGATTGTCATGTAACTGACAACAGTATTTAGGTAAAGTTAACGTTTTTATTTCTGTATAAAAAATATTTTCTATGATTATATGTATATATTTGTCAGAACACATTTGGATTTCATTCTACTATTGTGATCATTTCTACTTAAGCGTAGGATTTTTACTTTATATGGTTTGATCTTATTAGTCAGTCTTAAGCAACATAGAAAATTTTCTGTTTTATTCTATGTGCATTAACTGATCACTGAGTAAGTCATCAATGTCATGTTTGCCTTATCCTTTAGTGCTGATCCTATTCCATTAATCAAGTAGCAGTGTGGTTACTAATATGTGTTTCGAGATCATGTGCATTATATTGAGTTGTTCTTAAATAGTTGACAAGATACCTTGGAACTTGGCTTCTTGCTTTATGTCACTCGTCAACAAGCAGTATCTAACATCTTGTGTGAACTAATACTCTCTATGTTGTTATTTTTGTAACTCATGTTAGAAAATTTGTATCTAACGTATGCTCCTAGTGAAAGTAAAATAAACTGGCTGCCTTGAATTAGCCCATCAGAGTTAGGATAGCGCCTCGTATTTTGCTCAAAGTTTGAAATGCAGTGATGAGTAACGCGTATGTTATTATCCACCAGGTGTAAATCGACAGTACTTGATCCTTAAAGTGCTTGAAATCAATGTAATTATCTATTATCCAACCAAAAAGTGGATTTTAGATAGTGTTTAGGCTAAATTACATAACCTGCCTGCTCTTAAAGCACGTGTTGTTCACCGCGTAATCGAGAGTGTTGAATGAGGCTAGATAATCTCCTGCCTTCCTTACTCTCAATCTAAACCGCAACCCTAAGTTTCTGAAGTTTGTAAACAGGAAGGTGACAAGGCTTTAAACTATTACTGATGTCAGTTCTTGTTGCAAACCTAACTCAAAGCTGCAGTTTAACTCTTTATACCTAACCTTAACCGCACCGCATCATAACTGATGTCAGTGGGTGACTGAAACTTTACGATATAGTCCTAACTCAACGCTAGTCCAACACCGAATATGAACGTATACACGTAAAATTGACCTTTATTCTTTGATACGAGCGATAATTTAACTTGTGAAGATTAACTATCACGATCAAAGCTGTTACTCCACTGTTATTTCATTACTTTATTTTGTTAACTGTTTTATAACTAGGCAGCGTTTCCCAAATGGCTAATTAGTCGCCAAAAGTTTTTCAGTATATTATGCCTTTACCACGTTTCCCTTAAAAGAGAATGCCATTTCAAATGGAACGTGTTGAAGTTTGTAATCCTGCTTTTTAATATTTTAGACAGAAGACCAAAATCCAACAAATGTCTTGTCAGATTTTGAAGAAATGACATCTGGTTTATCATCAGTTGTGATACTTGCAGATGAAATGGAAAATGATGAAATGACAACTGCAAAAGCATTTACAACAGATAAATCAACCGTCCATTCTTCTGAAAGGTCTACTATTGAATATAAGGCATCAATTTCTGGTAATGTATCCTACTTTTGAAAATCATATTATCTTTATTCATAGTTATATCTTAACAGGTTATTTTGTTCGTTCCATTTTTCGCAATTCTTCAACGCTTAGACTAAATTAACGAAGTTTAAGAACGACAGGTTGTTGCTCGATGGTTGATGTAGAAGTTGGTCCAAAATATTAACGAGTGGTTGAACCAAACCAAGATTTTTAGGGTAGCTCAGTAATTAAGGTATTTGAATTTCAACCAATACGTAAATGGTTTGTGTCTTACTCTGTCCATTTTGGTTTAAGCAGTCGAGGGTATAATCAGTATCCCTCATACTTAGAATGTAACTCAAAGCGAACTACACGAACTTGTACACTTGGTAAATGAGTCTTGGAAAAATTTTTCCATATATTTTGTCTGTAATATTTGTAATTTCAGATGATGAAGCTTGGAGTGATTCTGAAAATGAACGTAAAAATTACTCACTGGATAAAACCAATAAGAAGTCCACTGAAACTAATAATAATAAAGACGAGGCCGTCACAATTAAGAATTCTGAGCTACAGTTAACTGATGAGGTTTGTAATTCCGTTTCTTTCAAGCGAAAAAATTGTTTTACTCTGTTGGTTATTATGATTATTCTTAAAGATTGGATTCGTTCTTCTACAATTTTCTTTCGGGTTTGTGTGTCTAATTGGATTTGCCCTTTGGTTATATAACGTTATAGTATAATAGTGGAGCTGTGGTTTATTTAGTTTATGGAGATCGTTAAGTTAATCGAAATTTACATCACAAACTGATGTTATTTAGACGACTGTTGAAAACTAAGTATTTCATATTAGTGTGAGAATCTTCAGTAGTGTGCATCCACGACTCCACCAGGAATCGAATTGAGGACCTTCAAGTGTCCCAACTGGTCTTTAACATTGTTAGAGGTATATAGATTAGATCAAAGCATTTTCCGTACAAGATTGTGTTGAGGACGCTAGTTGGCTATTTCTTAACCAATCGGCGCTAGCGGAGACTTGGAGAAGACTCTAGGATCTTCTTATGTAAAAATTATAAATATACTAACGTTTGTCCTATTGTGATCCCTACTTCCATCTAACCATTTTTATTTGGAATATGATTACGTTCCTGTGCAGTCGTGTTCTGATTTGGGGACTTGTCGAGAGAAGTAGTGTCCAAGAATATCAAGCAATAGGAGTAGCTAGGTTGTAATAACAGAAATTATAACAAACATTTAGACCATTGGAGTGATGTCTAGTGTTTTACATTTGTAACGTCAGTCTATTCGTTATATTACCCATCTTGTAATGTCATTGCTAAGTAACACTCGACATGACCGAAATCTGCTGGCCATGGCTTCTCACTAGAACTCCGGGAATAACTGCTCGAAGTTTGTCACTAATGCGTGTAAGGGACTAGGATAAAGCAGTTGTCAAGTGTTTTTTTCTTGGTTTCCAATGTTTGTCTAAGGTCATTTAGTGATTTTAACGACAATAAATCCTACAATCTCTGTAAACCTTACCCTAACAGTACATTCATCAAACATTTCAATAATCGATTTAGTTTCGCCACTAATCGATTTGTTTATGCTAGTTATGATTCACATCATTTTTCAGTTAAACTGAATCCATAAGGTAAACTACCCTGTCCTTAACTTTGTATTTAAAGCTTAGAACATTTTACTTTATTCCACTTATTATCACTAATTGTTCAATGGATCATACATATGTATATTGACAGTAATCTGCTGATCATAATTATTTTTATCTAAATTTAATTTTAGATTGATGATTGGGAGAATTGGTCATAAAAATATAATTAATCCCAAAATTATTACATTGCTTGTTAGTTGCAGTGATTCATACTATTATTAACTAATTTTGTTGTTTCTTTTTATTGTAAACTGACATTAATCTGTGTGATAGATAACATTAATGACTATAGTAATTAATTAAAAAGCCAATAAAATAATGTGAAGAGTCCGTTCTTTATCACAAGAAAGCTGACAACAAAATAGCCTAAAACGACCGATTATTTTTATGAAGCAATAGATGATGATAATGATGTTTACGCTTACTATATTTGAGAAATCTTGTTTATTTTTTCAATTGTACTTTTCTATATCTAACCATATGAATGATGACTTTTTTTTATTTCTCAAACTTTGTCGTCTGCCAAAAGTTATTGATTTTGAATTTATTTTATTATTATAGTGGTTGTAGTAAATTGTCACTTTATCGAGCTATTACACCATCATCATCATCATAGTACTTAGATGTCGTGATTTTATCCTTTGAGAAATCTATTTCATCGATCAATTCTTTTTTTTCTAAAAATAAATTCTTTCTTACAAGCGATTGAAAATTATTACAAAGAACAATTGTTTGTTAAATAGAAGTGTGATTGGTCGGTTGATGCACTGTCAACTATATATATATATATATATATATATATATATATATATATATATATATATATATATCGCCTTGCACACTGTTGCACGTGGATGTAGCAATCATTTCTATTATATGAATAAAGTCAACAATACACAGACATTTACACTAATATTTTTCGACAGTAAAATTGTTCAGAAAGGAAAAATAGTTTAAAGGAATAAAATTGTGTTCTATTTGTATGTTTTTTTTTAACAAGCATCATATATACGACCTCATAAAAAGAGATCAATTAATAATTTTATAAATAAATGCGATATTTAAAAGGGTAAATAAAAGTTACATAAAAAACAACCTACAGACTTATCACCAGTCGACAACAATAATTAGATTAAATTCTCCAATGAATCACTATAAAAATGATTAAAATCTAACCGTAACAATAACTGATTTAAATCTGTTTCGTCTGAATAAAGAGGACCATTGGTAGTAGCAGTAGTAATAATACCAGGTAACGATAATGATTCGAAGTCTCGATGATCATTAACAGCAGTATGGCCAGGATTGAAACCAACACTACTTTTAGCACCGGTTAAACAAGAAATATTTAATAAATCATACAATAATTTTGCTTGAGTATAAAATTTATTCACCATCTCGTGCACTTCATTAGACAATTGATGATTATGGTCATCATCCATATTCATTAAATGATCATTGTAGTATTGTTGATTTGATAAATCTACAAATTGACAACAATAATTTAACAACTGTAATATACATAATTTTATATTTGGCATGAACAATAATGCTTGTGCTTGTAAACCAGCCAGGTAAGCTTCATGTGCGATTTGAATTAATCGGATTTCTTGATCACTATGTAAACGATGAATCAAGTGTGAGAATTGTGCTTCAATTACATCGACCTGTGAGGAAGAGAAAGAAATGAAGTGCGGATATTCTGGAAAAATAATGATAGTACCAGGGATTGTATGCCGATTCATCCGTAAGGCGTGTGGATAACCCAATTTAATATATTCAATCAAGTTTGCATTTATTTCTTTATTCATTTTATTAATTACGGGTTGTATGAGTGCAATGAGAACTATGACTCACAAGTGTTAATAGTACTATTGACTGTGTAGTGGTAGTGGACAACATTTAGTATTGGCAATATGATTTAAGAAAAAAAAACGATTAACTCGCAGTATAGAAAAGATAATATCATTTTCAAACTCAAAATCTAATGGAGAACGAAGAATGAATGCATTTAGCCTTTCTGAACGATTCTGATCCATTTAACCTAACTTCTGTAACCATTAACGATAATGGTTGCATCAATTCCAACCACATAATTTAGACCTAACATTATGGCTCAATCCAAGTCAAGAACATTTTAGATTGATGTTGTGCCCTGATTTGGTTACTCCTAGCTTTTATTTAACCTATTCCTACACCGAGAAAAATAAAATTACATACTGGACTATCAAGTGTATTTGAAAATGGAACTAGATAGATCAAATAATTAATAATAATAATAATTGAGGACATGGCACACGAGGATATCATTTGCTAACAAAAATAAAAACACTGGGTAATTTGAACTTTTCCCACACCATAAAAGGTAAAACATTTTTTGGTAAATTCTGATCATAGGCTAGACCATACAACAAATTTTGGACTCTTATTTATGTACCTTATTGTATATATTTGACTAGTTTTACATTTGCTTGGTCACTTTATTGTATTAATCCTATGAGGCTTATATCTATTCAGATTACGCATTCACAAATTGTTCTAGTTCAATTCATTAACATATTGCTTGGTTTGACCAGGTAATCTGAATAGAAATCAAATATTACTATACTTCTTTTGCTTCCAATATGCTTATACGATTTTGATCATTTTCAAAGTGAATACGACTAACAATTTGAATTACCTAGACATAAACAGTACAGATAGAAGAGAAGTGACTTTTGTGAATAATCATAACACTAATAGGAAACAAATAATATTCGACCAGTATATTTTAAAATGACAATGAAGATCCCCTTTCCCAAATATGATAGCAAACCAACCTGTAAATAATACTGTAAACTCTCAATAATAAATGCCATATGACTACGAACTAGAAGGCGTCGACCTATACAGGATTGCAACTTAATAAAAACGTTGGTTGGTGGTGTTTGATCATAATTTACATTGGACTGATTACGAGCAGAGGTACGACGCCACAAAAGAACCTGATCAGCCCAAAACTGTTGTAACTTCAGTTGTGTTCGACGGATAGCGAATAGAAATCGAAATAAACTGTCGTAAGCACGACAAATATTAGGAGAGAATAAACGTTCGAACACCGGTGGAGCAATAATGCATAAGTGCAAACAATCCCAAACAGTAATATTTTCTGGCAGTTTATTTGATTGAGCTGCTGTCAACTTTATTGAAAATCTAGATAGAATTAAAAATTTAAGGAAACTAGACTTTAAATGTGGAACGAAACGAGTGGTTTTTCAAATTACTGATTGAAGAATCTAAATTTCGTATGATTTTAGAAAATGCACAGAAAAACAATTTTTGTACCCAGTAACTTTATGAAAAGTCCTAGGACTGATTGAACGCATTACTCGAAAGTAATGTCAACAGAAGTCATTTTATGGTATCGCTTATCTGGTGAGAAAGTTGAGCTAAACTGAATTCCGATAAAACTAGGGAAATGACTCCGACAAAACTTATGACGTAATGGTAGCTGTTCATAAAGACTGTGTTGACTTAATCGAGTATTTGAGAGCTGAGAAGACTCTGCAGATGGTCGAAAACAATGAATTTCGGCCCCCTCTGTAGATGGAAGCTTCGGACGTGTTTTATTTGCGTAAATTTATTTGTGTCAATAGTCTCAATCTTAAAATATAAATCATATCAGCTTTGGGTGTCAGTCAGTGGGGGACGTGTGTTAACGGCGAAAGCATGTGGTTTTCAACTGGTAGGCTAGTTTTAAATTTTGTTCCACCTACTTCAGTCTGAACAACTAGATAGTGTCGCCAGATCCCACATATTTAGAATATGACGTTTTGGCGAAGTTGCGTTTACTTAACTGGGTGATTTGATCGTGAAGCTCTGATTTTGTTTTTAGGCAACATAGGACAAACTTCACAAGGTGAGCTAATCAGATTTCTCCACTTATCACTAACGGCTTACTCCGTCAATTTTAACTGGTTGTTGGCCCATGTTTTATGATTGCCTCGGCACATATATCGATACTTTGAATGTAAGGCAATCAGTATCAGATAGTTGTTATTCATTTACGACACGAGAAACTAACAACTAGTACTAAAAGGTATAATCATAATATGAAATGCTCTGAGTCTCCGCATCATTATTAATACAATATAAGTAATGATAGCCGATTCCCATCGTCTTAACACTTATTACTGGCAATGTATACTGCTTATCTTCATCATATTTACGCCCAGTAGAAACAGTGGCTATTCGGTAAGCTAAAGATTAGTTAAATAATAAAACCCACGTGAAGTATCATGTGTCTCTATCTACAAAATAATTTTTATTGACTGGTTACAACCTAATATTATATGGTTGTTGATTACAAAGTCACTTCATCAATGCTGCCTTTTATAGTACTATAGTGAAAGAGAACACATGTGATGACAACCAAATGTATTTGAATACAAAATTACAGAATGTCTTAGTAAAATCTGAGAACCATACACTAAATACTTCATTTGCAAAATGTCAACCAATCGTCTCAGACTTGATTGTTCCTTCGTTTCCACACCAATCATTCTTTATTCTTGCCCCCTTTTCTTCGGTCTTCTTAAACTTCTACCACCAGGCATTTCACTTTCGATTGGTGATACATACTTCATATATCCGTCGACGTCAGTAGCACACACCACAGTACTACTACTAATAATTTTACATAACGATATAATTTTGCCGAACAAACCAACATGATTTTTTGAAGTTAATGTACTCATTTTTAAAAAGTCATAACCAATTACTTTTTCTGCCGTTATTACAGTTACTTATATTTCATGTATATTGGTTCGAATTTTTACACCTTTAGATAACAAAGACAAAAGATCGAAACAATACGGTGAACCATAGAGAATCGTAGGACAAGGTGAAGATTTTCATAAGTATATCTAATAAACGTATTTGCTATGCAATAATCTATGGTAAACCAGAGAACGATAACGATAATAGTAGTAGTAATAATAATGTTGAATTCTCAGCATAGATGATTGTATCACCTACCCCTTATATTATATTATCAAATGGAAAAGGTTCACTATAAGGTGAGTAAAATTAAATTTAGATCATCAAAAACTTACAGTTTCATATTACTGATGTCAAATATCTTGTGCATTAAAAATCAAAAGTTTTTAATACGCCTCACAGTGAGAACCCATAGTTTACTTAACTTCAAAAGATCTGCGTCTAATCTATAGTGATCACTCAATAATTTAATTAAATGTGAATCGTCATTCAAAGACGCCGTCATTTGTACTTTCAATGTTCATGTGTTAACCATATATTCGGACAGAACGACGGGCTAGAAATCTGGTCCATAAAATACACCCAATTATCTCCGTTGTAAAGCAAGAGGTATGTAAATTAACCTTTAATGAAATCCTTGAATATATATATAAATTTTACCAATAAATAGCCAAAAAAGGATAATGCAGTTCCTCTGGATTAACAGAACGAACATGCTGAGATCAACATCCTGATGGAAATACATCTGGATGTTGAACTGCTAAATTTTTTATACTCGATTTATAACCATCAGGTTTTAAGTTAAAACACTTTCATATAAAATACAGGCATGGCTTACAAGCCAGAACACAAATATCCTTGTGACAACTGAGAATTATAAGTCAAACAATACATATATACTCATTCGGCAAAAATAAGAGCAGTTTGACATAGAAGTAACATAACACTATAAAACTGTCTACATACATTTGATAAATTCAATATTACACAGTGACATACTTAAAATTGGAATCTAGTTCTTCATCATCCATACCTAAAGATCGAGCTGCTCCCAGAAACGCCTCAGTAACATCGTATTCCAGAGCCTGAACTGCACTTTCATTTGCTGGAGGAGGTTTGTCTAAAATGTTATGTTGGATTTCACAAGTGGTCCCATAACGTGAGTTATTACTGTTGCTGAGATTATTTAAAATATTTAAATGATCAAGGAATGCCAAGAATAATTCGCCTCTTCCTAAAAGTAGGACATCTTTAACTAAGCGAAGATATTGAAGTAATTTGTGTTCTTTTAATAAACTACACCAAGCATGATATGAGACAACACTCTGTATATCGCATACTAAACTACTGATTTTATTAAGATCTATCAGGTTACTAAACGTTTTCCCAGTCGACTGAAGTCCGTCTGAATTTTTTTCCAAACAAGTTGACAGTTCCGCAAAACGAGGAAAATAATTTTTCTCTAATTCCAGTAAGAAAGAAGCTTCTGATGGATCATAGGTGGCAGAATACACAGCTTCACCAGTTTCAAGCACTCTTTGGGCAAATGAAGTTGGTAGAAATGATGGTAGGTTTGCATTATCTATCAAAAATCTTGGTTTTGTCGTCATAGAACCATTTTTTGATTGATCATCAAAATAACCATGAGAACCTTGTAAAATGGATGGATTCGGGTGGGTAGAGACTGAAGTAAAATCTTCTAACTTGATAAAAAATTCATAAAAAGGATCATGAACAACTCCATATATAAGCCACGATGATAATTGTCGTAAAAACACTTGCATAATGTGAAACACTAGCTTTTGGATAGTGAATCGCGGGCCTGGTAGACCAGGAGGCGCAGCTGATAATATTGTATCTAAAAGCCGACAGCTGGACTTAACGCCAGTAGTTTGAGGGCTTGTAACTATAGTTTCCACCTTTTTAGTGATTTTTACAAGCACAGGCAATAAAATCTTGTAGGAATGAAGACGGTAAGAAATGTGTGAAACACCAAGATCAGCATCCATCAGAAGTTCAGTTTCTAATGTACATAGGTCTTTTCTGTATGCTTTAAGTGAATCATCAATTCCGAATGCAAATGCAGATAAATATAAACCATGATATGATTCGGAAAAGCGTTCATTAAATTCTTCCAAATATTTGTAGCAAGTTCCAAGTTTTAATAACTCCGCATAAAGGACAAGTTCACCTTGTGGTACAAAAGGAAGATTATTTGATATGGGTATTAAATGTTGGTCTATACCTAAATCATCATCTTCTTCAGTCTTATCAGACTGGACGAATATACCACCGGAAATTCCATGTAAAGCAAGTAACAACTCATGTAACATTTAATAAGTAGAACTGAAGTATATCTACATGAATGAAGGGAAAATTAGCAAGCTTTAGGTATACCAATAATATGATCAAATAATATAAGTTTTAGTTGCGAATCGGCAAATATCAAGAGGAGAATAAAAGAGAATATTCTTCAATGTAATAAGAATTTTGATTATTTTTTCTCGCATTATTGCCCAGTGGTTTTTTGGTTCAAACAATAAATTTCTAACTAATGAGATTCCATCCGTATCAACCACATTCTCATCTAATAATAACGTAGAAACCTTGATATAACGAAATATCGATAATTCCATCACACAAAACATCACGACAACAGAGGAAATTATGCAATGATCACAAAAAAGTAGTAACGAAGGATGGTGGTTATTGCTTCGAAAAGGATAGCTTATTGCACATAAAAAAGATGGAACGCGATCTAAGAATGCTGCTCCCATTAATTAGAGGCTAGATGTGAAAATGCCTCCCTGATCTTTAGGACTCTATCTAGCGAGTCATATCGGGTTAACCAGTGGGAACCCAACAGTTGCCACTTATTCCATAGCACTCCATATCGAATGCAGCAATTAGTGTTTCATGAGATATTTTAGAATATGCGTAGAACTTTACTAATACTTTAGGATAACATCAGTTGGATAATAGTCTACAGTATCCCTAGATGTTCACTACCAAACATTAGTATAACCGTACCTTCACCAAACACAACCGATCGTTCGAAAGAAACAAAAACAGACGACCTTTAAATGCCCACAGCTTAATGATGTTAGTTTTCACATGTGAACGGTAAAACTTTACGTTGGGCACCAAAAATTTGGTAGTCAGACTAACAACACAGCAAAGCCGACAATGACATGAAACAAGCTACTTGAACTTAAATAACTGCCCATAAAGACGGACATTTGAGTTATCTCCATGAGTCAACCATCACAAGAGGGATAATTAAGAACCGAGAATATGAATAGAAATAATAGTACGTAATAAAACAAGTAATAGAAAGTCAAGAAAAAAGATGGGTTCGAGAAGCAACAAATAAGTGATGACACATTCGAGTGGAAGGAATCCATCTATGGCAATGAGGGCGCTTCAAGAGGCATCACACTAAATCTTTAACCATAAATTACGGTTACATCGAAATCCTAATCAAGATATGAGCACTTTCCTGGAGAGATACAAATAAGAGTCAGTGACTCCAACTAAGGAAATATTGCCTTGATTTAATCACCTAAAGGCTGACTGTTATAAGGCTCAGGAGTAACTTAGCCTATTCATCACCAGTTGGTTTTCCAAGTTTTGAAAACTTTGGTGAGTATGAAGGGAACTAGTTAACAGAAATAGAATATATTTATTATCTGCACTTCCCTTTGGTTCGGTTAGACAACTGATCATGATTTCAGATGCAAATAACTTACTTTCACAAATACTTTTAGAACGATGGACATGTTGACCCAGAAAACTTATGACTTCGTACACACTGTAGGATGGTTAGAATCAGGTATGTGCTCGAAATGAAGACACAGTTTTGGAAAAAACCGCATCTAATTGCAATATTATCTGCTTGAGACGATGACGAGTAGATTATAGAAGACGATTATGTTAAAGGTTAACATCAATCAAAAATAGACTTCAACCTGCACATAGATGTAGAATGCTTTTATCCGATGTCTAGAAAACGAGTTCCATTTGGTCACAGCAACTTCTACACTACTAGATATCTATTTCAGGCAATTAAGTGTTGAGATGACTTGTATGTCTGTCAACTACATTCAACTTAGATTATTATGTTGCTGGATTTCAATCTCCGATGTTTGCGTTGAATATCATTTTAGCGTCCGCAAAAATAACGAGAATGTACCCTCAGTTATTCCACTCACTTCTCACCTCAAAATTAGAAATTTAGCCCATAAGCAACTAAACAACGGTTATTCAAGATTAATTTGGTAGCCGTTTCATTGGCTTCAGTATTTCTTAATGTTTAGACCCCAATATCACAAGGTATCTCAACAAGCACATACAACACATAACTTTAAGCAAACAGGGCGAGTAAATTTGCAGTATTACCTAAAATTTGAGAAGCATTATACTACGTTTATGTTTACAATCTCCATTATTCTTCAACGTAAAATATTTGAGTGACTCGAGTCACCTTGTTAACTGATCATTTAAGTAAATGACCCTGAATAAATACGGAGATTACAAAACAACTGAAAACGACAAAAACTTTAAACATTCTTCAGTTATAGGAACATATTCCAAGGTATCTAAGTAATATTGGGGTCAAATAAACATACACCAGAGATTGGAACCAAGCAACCAACAAAGAGGAAATAAAGCGGACGAATGCGTAAATAAAGGAGAAATACCGATTTTCCCCTTTCTTTTTGTGAGAGATTTGTAGAAAAATACACGTAACCGTCATGTTTGAATATGCCGCTCTCTGTACTCACACTTTCATAAAACCCTACAAAATAACGTACTGTTTAGTAAAATTGGAAGATAGTTATCGTTACCACAAGCAGGAAAATGTAGATGCATTTATCCGTAATACATTTTTTGTTTAGCTGAAATGCTTGGTGGCCATCAAAAATAGCTAACGAGAGTGGCGTGCTCTCTATTTTTTGTGCTCTATGTCACTCAGTTAAAATCAGTGAGAGGGCTCATTGACGTAGGGCAACTGCGAACTTGTTAAGAGTCCTTGGCTGCCATATATAGAAGTATAACAGATGCAGGATGAAATACGAACAACATTCGTGAAAAAATAACTTGTTTTATTTTACTCATTTTGCTAATGAAAGCACTACCGAAGTTAGTGGACTTCAGCGGTGACTTATGTTGAACTGATTGCAGTCAACACAGAAATTATTTCTAATGAGGCTCCATCAACTGTAACAGCATTCAGTAGCCACAGCAATGAAGGGCTTCTGCATGATAATGGTGTATGTTAGAAGTGAATTCGTTGATATTTTTCTTATAAGATGTCATGAAGTTATTTCACTTGTGCTCTCAGAAGTCCGTAAATCAATAAGAGCAAATGAACATGTTTTGATTAATTTCATGACAAAAACTTGTCTGAGCATCAGAGATGCTGATCGAATTCTGAATAATTTCCGAGATTATGTCCCGGACTAACTGAGTAGCATCAGCTGTGTCCTGCGGATGTGCACAAGTGTCCAACCGAAGTTCTTCAGCAGTGAGGTTTACTGTTTCTGCCATCGAATTATTTCAACAAGTTATCTTTTCTTTCATTTTGTTTTCAGGTCCCATTATGTCTATTATTCATGTAACCTACACAGGCGCGTTTATGAAAGGTCTACGACTTTTCTCTGTACAAGTTACAAAGAATTACGATCAAAGACATCGCGGTGGTTGGCAGTATGCGTTGAAGTGAATGAACATTAATCGTATGTTGATTCCCGAGCTGCTAAAATCTAACTGCCGATCGCTAGTTAATAAGGTAGATTCTTTTCAATTCCTACTAAGTATGTGGAAACTCTTTAAAAAACTTGCAGGTGACAGGCACATTAGAAGCGATGACCAGCTGAATGTTTGTGACTCAAATAAGTTTTTGTACGTCAGTCATTGGATGCAATGCTCCCTATATCCACAGGTTTGAAGAATAGTTGCGTTCCTAGTTTCACTGAAACTGATGTCCGAAGATGTCTCCAGTCACTAAATTCATCCCAATGTTTAGGACCTGATGGTATCCCAAAACTTTTTTATTAAAAAACATGCCGACGTTCTATGTTATCCATTTACGAGTATTTTTAACAGATCCTTCTCAACTAATCTCATACCGAAAATGTGGAGAAAGATAAAGATAATCCCTATACCTAAGAAAGTATCTGGTGATATGAATGTCAAATTTAGACCCATAGCAATAAATTCACCTTTCCTCAAAACAATGGAGAAATTATTGATACTTCCACTTCAACCTGCGGTAAAAGAGCACATTGATCCATATCAGATCGCTTACAGATGCAGAGGAAGCACCTTAGATGCCGTTGCTGTTCTGCATCACAATATAGTATTCAGTTTTGAAGACGGTAAGAAGAATGTTCGATGCGCTTTTCTGGAATATACTTGTGCTTTTGATTCTATACCAAGACAACGTTTACTTAACAGGTTAATCAGCGTCAACACTGACAGCTGGATAACAAATTGGCTATGTTCCTATCTCTCTGGAAGGGACCAGTTCACTGTGTTTGAAGGAAAGTGTTCAAAGTCTCTAGTGCCCCATGAAAGTGTACCACAAGGACCCGTTCTTTCACCTCTTCTTTTCTCTATCTTTCCGCATTATCTGCTATTTTCTACAGAAAACACTTCTGCGAAATATGAGGATGATCTCACTGTATGTATGCCGATTTCTACCTCTTTACATCCCATTGAATTGAGTGAGTTTTTGTCTCGTATTGATTGTTGGTCTATTGTTAATGGTCTCAAGCTCTATCTGTCTAAATGTCAAGCTGTTAACTTTAGCATAAGACATGAACGGCATCTAAACAACACTTTGGGATCCCATAATGCTCGTGTTATTGGAGACTCTTGGACAAACACAGTGTCGAAGGTCAATTATCTTCGTGTTACTTTTTCCTATGATCTCTCTCGGTCTTCTCATGTTTTACTGTTATCGAAGAAAGTTTTCCATCTGACCTACTACATAAAGAGACTAAATGCTTTTGGGATTACTTGTCATTTACTCTTACAATTTGTCAACTGTATATTGCGTATTATTCTTTACTGTTCTCCATTATTCTTTCCCGGGTTTTTGAGAAAAGACTTTGCTGTATTGCGGAGAGTGCTGAAGGCAGTTATCAAGGTGTGTGGTGAATCTTTCGAGGTCATAATTAATATGGTTGTGGATAGACATCTAAAGTCATGCAAACTCCTGGCAGGTGTTATCTTATCAGATATTAACCATCCTCTTCAATCGTATCTTTCTCCTTGTATATCTCCTGGTAGAACGAGACGTAATTACATTGAAATCCATGCACTCAAG